CTAGGATTACAGGCGTGAGCCACCACACCCCGCCTGAAATCGGATTTTTCAACAGTAGCACTTGATGCAAAAAAAATAAAGGAAAAAAAATTGAACTAAGACTTCTATAGCTAGTCTAATTGTCATTTAAAAGACTAATAAAATGAAAAGATTCTTGAGCGCACAGTACCTCAGGAGGTTTGCCATATAGGCACCTGTTATGCAAACATTTTTAGGGTAGGTACTTAATTAGGAAGAGGAAAACAAAGCTGGAAGCGGTAGAAATAAACAATCACATAGTTTTGTAAAGTAGCAACTAAAGACCAAAAATAAAATGTGTAACAGTCTAAAAGTAAAATTCTAAACAATAGCGACACAATATGACAGTATCAAATACCTCTGAGGAAAACACAGCAATTTTTAATAGCCTTAGAAATTTTGTCATTACTTCATAATTTTTGCATGATATAAATAAGGAAGTGACTTAAGGTACAAATTACTCTTAATTCAGCGTATTATCTAACATTTAAAATTTTTTAAAATGTAGTCTTATAAAATGTAAAAAGGAAAATTTTTAGATTTTTGTCATTAACACTACATATTTTTTACTACTTTTATTTTGTAAGAAAAAGTATGATTTGTCAACAAATATATTTTAAAATGACATGTTTAGCTTAGAGCTAAATATATTAAAATGTAGATTAAAATATTTTTTCGAGATTTTATTATGAAAATTTTTAAACATAGAGCAAAGTTAAAAGGATTTTATAATAATACTAATATCTACTGCCATTGATCTTTTATTAACTTGCTTTATCACATATCCTCTATCCATTCATGGATGTAATTTTTAAAAACATAATTTCATAGGCTGGGCATGGTGGCTTATGCCCATAATCCTAGCACTCTGGGAGACCGAGGTGGGAAGTTGACGAGCTCAGGAGTCCAAAACCAATCTGTGCAAGAGTGAGACCTGTCTCTACAAAAAGTAGAAAAATTAGCCAGGTATGGCTGCATGTGCCTTTGGTCCCTGCTACTTAGGGTGCTGAGGCAGGATTACTTGAGCCCAGGAGTTTGAGGTTGCAGTGAGCTATAGGGATGCCACTGCACTCTACCTGGGGCAACAGAGCAAGACTTTATCCAAAATAATAATAATAATTTCATAGTAAATTGCATACAGTGAGCTTACCTCTAAGTGTGTCAGCATTCGTCATGTAATTAGAGTTTAGTTTTGTTTACAAGGTTGCCTACTTTTTAAATGTGAAATATACATACAATGAAAGACACAAATCTTAGGGATTAATAAATTGATAAATGCACAAATCGGGGTGTTGATAAATTCCTCATATAATTTCAACACCCATCAGTATATATATCAACATATGGACTGTTACTACATTGTGCTGAAAGAAGCTTTACACAAAAAATACCTACTGTACTTATATAAAGTTTGAAAATAGACAAAAATTCATAATCAGAATCAGGATAGAGGCTGTGTCTGGGGGAGTGAATGGCAAAAACTGATTATTTTGTGTAAAGCTTCTTTCAGCATAGTGTTTTTGAGAGTAATCCATTTTGTCTATCAATAATGTGTTCATTTTATTGCTAAGTAGTTTTCAATTGTATGACTATAACCTAGTTAATTAATCTCTTATTCGTGAGTACATACACTGTTTCCAATATGGAGCTATTATCAGTCAAGCTGTTAGGAACATTCTTAGGCAAGACTTTGTGAACATCCTTTTCTTTCTGGTAAATATATACCTGGAAGCAAAATTGCTGGATCATAGGGTAGGTGTATATTTAGTTATATAAGAAACTGCCAGACCATATAAAATGGTAAAACCACTAACAGCATGTAAGAGTTCTGCTTGATTTACACCTTTGCCAACTTGTAGTGTTGAGCTCTTTCATTATGTGCCTTTTGGCCATTCATATATTTTCTTTTGCAAAGTGTCTATTCAAATCTTTGTTTGAACAAGAGATTGTTCAGGAGATTGTTTAGATTTTATGATTCGTCCTGTAGAGTTATAGGGTTTTTTCATATTCTGAGTACCAGTCTGTTCTCAGGTAGATGTTTTATAAATCACATAAAAAATAGACAAACTTCTTTCAGGGCCTGAAAGCTGTGAACAGAATTACTTCACTTTTGTTTTTATGTGCTTTATTAAGTGATATTTCAACACCATCATTCCTTTTTGTCTTTAACTATAAAGTAAATAGTATATGCCTTGGATTAAAAACAATTTCAAACTGTGTAATTGTCAAAACCACCCCAGATGCTGACGGAAAAACCAAGTGACTGAGCCGTGAGTGTGTACTTATCTTATAGCTACTAAATGCTGTACATATTTTTCGATTTGTGCTTTGAGCCTCTCAAAATGTTCTACCTTTAAAAAGAGAAAAGTAAGTACTTTCGTGATCTTTTAAAAAATAATGTCAGTTTTTTAACTCATATTTGGGGAACCATGGCCTAGTCGACAGAAGAGTAACTCGTCTATTATGTGTAGGGAGACTTGTTTCCGTCCTAATTCACTTTCTGATGAGCTGAAATTTAATAATCACTTTCCTTGATGC